CAGCACTTCATTTGTACTGCAAGAAATCAGGTTTTCCCTGCCCTGACCCTGCTGCACAATAATGGTGCAAAATGCAAGGGACTCTTTTTATTACAAAAAACCTTTTAGTGCCCAGGCAGACATTTTCCAGAGGATTACCTCGAGTGGCTGAGCCACATCCCCATCGTTTCTGTGCTGCAGCAGGCACTGGCAGGATTCCTCTGGGATGCTTTGCCTAGTGCTGGCTGTTCTGCATTTCCGTGGGGATTTCTCCACGTGGTAAAGCTGTAAAGCTTCACAGCTCGATGGCTCCAGGTGGATTTAGGGCTGCTCCTGAGCAGCCTGAGGGCTGCCACCCTGACCCTGTTCTCCTGTGCCCAGATCCATGCTTTCATCAAGAGATCCGAGGCGGAGGAGGTGGATTTTGCAGGGTGGCTCTGCTCCACCATCGGCCTTAACCAGCCCAGCACCCCCACGCACGCCGCCGGCGTCTGAGCCCGGGGCCAGCTCCTGGACTGTACCTCTGGTGACAACCACGCTCTCCTGGTCCTCTCTCCTCAGCTTGTACCTGTTCAAACATGTATTTCACCTCTTAAGGAAGAATGTCTTGATAGCATGTGCCAAAACGGTTTTAAATCTCGTCCTAAACTAATTGGTATCGTACCGGGTTCCGTCGTTCACTGACCAAATGTAAGCTGTGTAAGTTCCAGTGCTTGCTGATTTTAGGTGATTATGGATATTCTTTCTTAATGAAAATATCACTGGGGCAGGGGGGTTGGCCCCTGGCTTGTTTGAACTTTATCAAGACTCTTTGTAAATCGTTGGTACTTCAATCATGCTTTCCCTGAGCTCCCCGGGCTCGGGATCGGGATGCTCCGAGCCTGTCTGTGAGCATGCTTTGCTGCTGCCCAGCTGTTCCCAAAAGTTAGGCTCCAATTTTGCTGTTGTCTAGAGATCTCTCTCTTTGCAGGTGAAGAAGGCAAGAGCTCTGCATTTCTCAGAATGCACAGGGCAATATTCTAATTGTAGACTTGTTCATATTTCTATATTTATTTTTCGAACATATCATCATCCTTGGATTTAGTGATGTATGTCTTTCTAATTGATTTTTAAAAGTTAGTTCTTGGAAGTGTCCTATGGAATCAAGACAATGATCCAAGCACTTTGCTTTCTTTTAACCTAAAGAGTCATGACAACTGTGTTTAGTGTCTAAAAGTGTATGAAAATCCTTTATTGTTTTATTCTCTCAGATGTTTAGCAATGGGTTCTCTTAATAAATATATTATCAAGTAACTTCTTGAAGCTTTTTTTAAAACTTGACCAAGGCTTTTAACCTAGTCACTGCACTATAAATTCCAGCTCTTTGAAAGGACTTTGGATGAGGAAATGCCTGAAATTGTTCCCCAGAAGGAATCCCCATCAGCGGGACGTGAACCTCCACATGGCCAAAGGATCAGGTATCAAAGGGCTGGCACAGCCGGGCCAGCAGAGGCAGGAAATGACTCACTGGCAATCCAGGCCTTCCTCCAGCCTGTCCTGGCTGGAAGAGACCTGAAGGGACAGCTGGGAGGGTGTAAATTAAACTCTTTCCTGAGCTTTACCTACACCCAGCAAACAGAGCCTTTTACTGTTTGCTAAAAGAAATGCACAGCAAGGTTTGGGAGGTTTAACTCCCACTTTGGGTTGTCCCCCCAGACAGCAATAATTTGGGCACTGCAAGCACTGTTGTAAGGACAGCAGGAAAAGAACTTTATTGCAACATGCACTAGAACTGGGCTGTTCAAATCCAAAAGCACTCATTCACAAAAGCAGCAGGAATTCTACCCATGAAAACTACTCTGGACCATGCTGGGCACAAATAACATTTTTCAACAGTCAGAATTACCCTTTGGAGTTGAAATGTGCTAAGAAAGGCCTGGGTGGCTCCTGAGCTCCTCCCAAACCAGCTCTTCACACACATCACTGCAAGGGCTTATTTGTCCATAGCAGTTTTGGCTCAGACTTTTGGGGGTTTTTTACCTGTCAGGCTTGGGAAAGCTTTGTTAAACAATCTTCAGTCCTGTTCTGAACTCCTTCATTAAGACATCCAGGACCCTCAAAACCCAAATAGTCTTTAGTACAGGATGAAGCCACATTTACATCCCAGCAGTTTCCAATGGTACAAACCAAACAAGAGCCAAATTAACACTCATTAACAGGGCAGGGATTCACTGGAGGCTGAATGTCAGCTCTGACCACCCCCAGGACACCAGACACTTTTCCAAATGCAAAAATTGTGGAGATTTCACATCACTTTCCATTTATAACTAAGTTCTTAAACTCCTCATGCTGCTCCTTGAGAATCACAGGAAAGCAGGCAACCTGGCCTTGATTTATGAGGTTACAACGAGAGAAAAATAAAGTAACACCAATTTAAGAGTATTAGCTTAGTACAAGCACCACAGATCAGTTCTTAGTCTACAATTTGTGGACAAATAAAAGGCTCCTTGGCTGCTGCTCTGAAGGAGCAGAAGTAGAAAGTCCTTCTGTGGGACAGACTGATAGAACTGAAGAGCACCAGGGGGACAGAGAGACCTCCCTGCTGTGCTCAGAACTGGGCTGACACTGGGAAGACTCTGGGAGTAACTCCAGCTTTCCATGGAACTGAGAACACAGCAGCTGAAGGCTGGAGACAGCCTTGGACACATCTTTTCTCACCTGTATCCGAAATTGCCAGTTTAGGCAAATGAGGTTAGAATGTAATCACTGGGGCAGCAGCAGCCTCCAGGACCTGGGTTTGTTTCTCACATCAGGAAGTGAGAACAGACAAGTTATTGCTTTTAGTGCAAGTGTTAATTGGTCTGGATGATCAATTGCTTCTCCCTTCCACGTACAAAGATGTTGTAAGAGCTACATTAGGTTTGAAATGTGGAATGGATTGTGCTACATATTTGTGCAGCAGATTTTCATTCTTTCATTCAACATCTGAGTCAAGATGTGCCCAGCCTGGGAAGTTCACATGTTCAGTGTCACTGCCCTCCACTCTGGTGTGTCACACAGTTCATACCCACACACAGCACAAAATGGAAACCACTTGGTGAGTTTCAGGTGAATGAAGAAGAAATTCCTGAGTCTGTATTAAAAACCATCTCTGATTTTTTTCTCTCAAGAATCGGATTCCTCCTCCTCTTCCTCCTCCTCCTCTTTATCATCCTGAAGACTGAGGTGTAACTCAGTTTGATTGATGGCAGCCTCATTGTCCATCTGCCCAAGAGTCTGTCAGAGAAAAGGGCTGATTACCAAACCCAGCACAGACACCAAACACTTCTCAAATCACTGTTAGAGCTGTGCACTGTTAATTAAAGCTCTCAGAGCTACAACTGAGAGCCCATCACAGCAACAAGGCCCTGATCTCCATGGAAAAGCTGCACCTGGGTCAGGCTGGCAGGCATTGAGTGAAACCTGCAGCACCTGTGCCTCCATCCCCAGCACCGGTGCCACCCCCGGGTCACAAGCATTAAACAAAATATTTAACACGTGGTGAACTGAAGCTACAGCACACAGCTATTTCCCAATCCCCTGGAAACGCCATGCTTTTGGGGATGGGAAAAGGTGAAACCCTGGAAAGAAACCAGCAGCAAAGCTGACACTTCACAGCTGAGCTCCACAGTGATGAGAAGCATCAATGAGGTGACACGAGGAGCTGCACAACCCAGCCCAGCCAACGTGCCAGCCGGCCGTGGGGCCCCCTCCGAGCCCAGGGACCCCCTTACCTGCTGGGTGTCCTCGGCCAGGGCTGGCAGGGCCACGGGGACGTTCTCCTCGCCGGCCCTGATCATGGACTGCAGCGCCAGCTCCTCCACCTGCAGGGACCGCACTGAGCACTGCCGGCAGCGCGCACAGCCCTGCCTCCCGCACGGCGCTGCCTTCACCTCTTAAAGCTTTGGAAAATATCCTGCCCTTCCGTGCTAAGCTCCTTTACTATGGTATGCATGAGTCTCTAAACCCAAGTAGTCTTCAGCTCCACTACCTCCAACTAGCCCTTCTCCATCCATCAGCTACGGCAAACCATGCACTCGCGTTTACCTCTTAGGGATGTATCCTGCTCACACTCACAATTACATTTATCTCTTAATGTGCCCTGCATACACTCACATTTACCTCTTAGGGATGTATCCTGCTCACACTCACAATTACATTTATCTCTTAATGTACCCTGCATACACTCACATTTACCTCTTAGAGGTGTATCCTGCTCATACTCACAATTAAATTTATCTCTTGATGTATCCTGCATACACTCACATTTACCTCTTAGAGAGGCATCCTATGTACACTCACATTTATCACCTAATGTATCCCACATGCATCACACTCACATTTACCAATTACAGACATATCCTGCATACACTCACACTTATATTTACCTCTTAATGTACATATACACTCACAACTACAGGTACTTATTACAGATGTGCCCCACACACACTCAATTACATTTACCTCTTTGAGATGTACCCTGCACACAATTACATTTACCCCTCGGAGCACCGCAGATGGATCCCCCATTCCCAGAGATGGATCCCCCTTCCCAGACCTGTGAGCAATTCCCCGCTCCCTCTCCAGCACCGATCGGGCGCAGGGCCCGGCCCGTGGCGGAGCGCGGCCGCGCGGGGCTGGGCGGCGGGCCCGGCCCCGCCGCCGCCACTCCCGCTCCCGTCCCCGCGGCCGTCCCGCAGCCCCGGGGTGTCCCCCGCACCCGCAGCCGGCGGAGCTGGTCGTGCAGCGCCGCCTTGACCCGCAGCAGCGTCTCCTCCTCCCTGCGCAGCTCCTGCAGCCGGCTCAGCATCGTCCCCGCCGGCCGCGCCCCGCCCCGCCACGTCACGGGCCGCCCGCGTGACGTCACACCGCGACAGCAGCGCGCGGCGAGCGCCACCACGCGGCCACCGCCGGGCACTGCAGCTCCGCGGGCTCCGCCGCACCGCCCGCCCCGGAAACTCCCGTTTGAGCGCCCGCTCGGACACGCACACGCCACACGGCTCTGTGTTCCAACAGCCTTTATTAGGGACAGACCGCGGGCACAGCCCCCGCGGGGACCGCGGGGCAGCACGGCCGCGGTTACGCCTCGGCCTTGGCCTTCGCCGCGGGCTTGGCCGCCTTGGCTGTCTTGGCCTTCTTGGCAGCGGGCTCTGCCTTGGGTGCAGCCGGGGCCTTGGCTGCCAGCTTCTCCTGGGCCTTGGCTTTCTTCTCTTCCTTGAGTTTGTGCTGGAACAGACAGAGAGATGGTCAGTGAGGGCAGCAGCTGCACCCCGAGCCCCAGCCCTGGCAGCCGCACTCACGTTCTGCGCGTGCCGCAGGATGGTGTTGCGCCGCATGGTTTTGGCGTACGGGTTCAACTTGATCATGATTCTCAGGTTCTTCAGCGGGTTCTTCTTCAGGACCCTGCGCTGAATCTTCTTCCTGCAAAGCACAGCCATGTTGTATCACCAGTGTATTTCACAATGCCACTTCTGCTGAATTCTCCCTGATATCTGGACAGCTGCAATTCTTTGCCTTTGTACCCAGAAATTAGGAAATCCCAGCCTGAAAGCAATTTCAAACCTCCCTGCTAAATAAAATTACTCACTTTGGAGCACGCAGGGCCTTCTGGATTTCCTGGCTTCTCATGATTCTTCCAATATCCGTATTGGTCATCTTGTGCATTGGCAGGCTGCGAAACCAAGGTTCAGAGTGTGAGTGGGTGATAAAACCATGGCTAATTCACCATAACCAGGCATTCAGGAGCAAGTCCCAGTATCCCTTTTCCTGATAAAAAGGGGAAAGCTGCCCCCTGGCTGCACTCACTTGTAGTCGCTCTTGAGCGTGGCCGCCTTGCGCCAGGTGCCGTACAGATCGTCCAGCTTGCGGAAGGCGCTCTCGGTCCAGATGCAGAAACGCCCCACGTGGCCCCCGGGAGCGAGGCGCAGCAGGTTCAGCTTGTTCACGTTCAGCAGAGTGATTCCTGCACGAGACCAGGCACAGCAACCCCTTCAGTTTGTAATTAAAATCGAGGAATGTGAGGCTCAGCAGTAGACAAGATGCAGAAAGAGACTGGGGGTTTCTGGCTTTGGTATTACATAGCTACACATACTCTCTCATGTTCATACTCTCTTTGTATGAACATCTACTGAATTTTAAATTAATAAGCCTTTTTCCACCAAAGTAACCAGCCTCATTTTTAACTGCCCAGTTGAGGGTTGAGAACAGCTGCAACATTTGTCACAAACACCCTAAACACCACCCTGACAGGTTCTTACAAAGAGCATATCAACTACTGCAGCCAGTCAGAACTTCCACTCAATCATGTGTTTCAGAAACACGGACCAATGAAGTGGAATCTCATCATTCCAGGCAGTGTCCCGACAGAAGAGCGAGCGTGTGCCAGGTTCATCACCTGGGATATTCCGGAAAGCTCTGATGATGCCGTTGTCCTCGTTGTAGATGATGCAGGGTCCCCTGCGCTGGATGCGGCGGCGATTCCTCATCTTGCCCTTCCCGGCCCGCATGCGCTGGGAGGCGTAAACCTGGCAAAAGCAGAAAATGAATATCCCAAGAGCCCAGAAACTGAATATCCCAAGAGCCCAACACACTGCTCCAGTCAGAACTTCACCATCATCACTGCGCATCTGCAACACGGACCGGTGAGATGTTCATCATTCTCCAGTCAAAATACAGAACTATTTGGAATTCCTACTCTAAGAACTGCACAGATGAATCACCTGTGTTCTGCTCTTCAGATCACAGCTTCCCAGCTCACCTTTTTGATGTCATTCCAAGCTTTAAGCTTCTTCAGGAGGAGAACAGCTTCCTTGGTTTTCTTGTAGCCCTCAACCTTGTCCTCAACAACCAGAGGAAGTTCTGGAATCTCCTCAATGCGGTGGCCTAGACGGGATTTCACAAGACATTCAGTGTTGCTCACTAACCCTGGCTGGACCATTCCTCAAGGTTACTGCTTTGTATATTCATAAATGATACATGATAAAAATAAATTCATGATAGAAATTAATGAAATGAAGCCAGGCACAGTAACCAGAGCAATGAAGTTTCAGTGGAGTCTTGCAGGTCTCACACAGGACTTTGTGTACCTGAGTGTTGAGTAAGTCTTTGCCTCCCTGAACAGAAATCAGACAGCTCTGCAAGACTCCATTTAAGCCACCACAAAGTACCCAATGCTGGCTCAGACAAACAATTCCAGAGGCAGAATTCTCACCTTTAGACATGACCAGAGCTGGCAGGGCAGAGGCAGCCAGAGCAGAGCAGATGGCGTAACGCTTCTGCATGACGTTCACCCTGCGGTGCCAGCGCCGCCAGGTCTTGGTCGGGGCGAACATGCGGCCGCCACGACACATCTGGGAGCTGCGGTTAAGAACAACTTTTTGGAGTTTTCCTATCCCAAAGTGACTTTTTATTGCTTGCTCAGCTTTAATGGGTCGTCAACCACCTGTGCCAGGATTCTGACAGCAGGCAACTGTCCCTGGGCACAGGGTAAGGCGCAAATTACGACATCATGGCAAGACAGAATGGGTCATGTGGTTCGAGAGCGGGAATCTCATCAAATCAAGTCTGAGCTGCAGCCATTACCTCAAGAAAAAGATTCCATCACACATCTCAATAATTAAAAACGTTTCTGCTGGCTTAGTTCAGTTCCCCCAAAGCCAGCACAGCCATGGAAGGATACATTGCCAAAGGCACCCTGGCCAGAGCGGTGAGTGCCACCACCCCGGACACGCGGGATTCGGGCAACAGCTCTCCCAGTACCCCATGATTCAGCACTGGTCTGGTGACCTGCAACAGAGAGAGACATCGTGAGGGTCACCAGGTGACATCACTGCCATGTCCTGCATCCAGAGGGATGCTGAACTCAGGGCACCGATCAGAACTTCCACACAATCATGTGTTTCAGAAACACGGACCAATGAAGTGGAATCTCATCATTTCAGCATAACAAATCAATCAAGAAAACGTAATCCTAGCCTATTAATGTACCTGATTCTGACCTAAGATCTTTAATAAGACACTTAGTTTAAGCTTGATTCTCAATCTGGACGTCTGACTTGGCACTGCTATACCTAGCAAGTTAGGATGTTTGTGTGAAACTTAGAAATAAGGTTAAAAAGACATGTTCCTAGCACAGACTTCTTGGGAAGCACAAGTTATCTGCACAAACAACAGAAGCAAATCTAACAAATGTCCATTTGAGGTTTTTCTTGGCAAATGCCTCAAGCAAGTCTCACGAGGTCAATGTGGAGCAGGGATTTCACCTGGAACACTTTCAGCTGTTTTATGTTTTTCCTGCAAAGAATGATTCCATCTGAGGTCTGTGATACTTCCAGCAAGACACACTTCAAGCAAGACCAGAGAGTACCCCAAAACAACACCTTGATGCCCCTCAGAATGATAAAACTGCTGCATTTCAAACCATGCTGTTAACAACTGGCCTTGCCTTCTACACAGAACCCCATGGATAAGCATTTTCTCTTATCCCAACTCCAGCTTTATTTTCATGTGAATCCCGCTGCAGTACAGCCCTGATGCCTTGTGAAGGCTGACCTAGACAAAGTTAAAGTAGAGATTTATTAAAAGGCCTCAGCAGATACACCTTGGGCAGCACAAGAGCCCAGCCTGGGCTACACCCAAGATGAACCCAAAATGGTCACAAAAATGGACGCCCAGTCATGGGGTCTCACACTTTTATAAGTTTTGGTCCATTTGCATATTGGAGTTAATTGCCCAATTACTGCTTTAGGTTATGAAGTCCCATCCTGCTTGTTTTTCTCTCTTCAGCCCACGTTGTTTGTGCTCTTGGGCCTGAGATTTGGATCATTTGCCCTGTTCCTCAGCTAGAGAAGGAATTTTGTCTCCTACTCTGCGCAGAGAGCTCACCACCCCCTAACAGAAAGCACTCCAGAACCTGCAGAACACAGAGCCCCCGAGGCAGCAGCCCAGGCGTACCCGCGAGCTCGCTGACGGCGTAGGGCTGCCGGTTGTTCTTGCGCAGGTTGGTGTGCACGAAGTTCACCACGTCGGGCCGGATGGGCGCCTTGAACACCGCGGGCAGCGTCACGTTCTTGCCCGACGCCTCCCCCTTCTCGGAGTACACGGAGATCAGCGGCCGAGCGCAAGCCTGGGGAGGCACAAACCCTTTAAGTGCAAGTCAAGTGAAATTTCTGAGCATTTCAATACTGAGCTCCTCAGATATTGCTCAGAAGTAAGGGGTCGTCAGCTCGGCAGTGCCAGCACGCTGACAGCAGGCAACTGTCGCTGAGCACCGGATAAGACGCAAATTACGTCATCACAGCAATATTGTCCTGCAGCTGTGCTGCACAGCTCACCTCAGAGAGCTGCACCTGAATTCCCAAGGCATTTATACAATTCAGCCTCTGGGCTCTGCAATAAACCCCTTTCATTTCCATCTACTACTAAAAAACTCACCTGTGTTAACCCAACATTTGTAATTTTAATTACGAAATGTAACCAGCTCATCAAACAGTGTCAGAGGAAGTCTGGACCCTCTGAACAACCTCTGGTGCTTTAGAATTTGTGTACTGGAAAATCAAGCTGCTCTCAGCACCAGCTGCCTGTCAAAAGGGTGAAAGGATGCCCAAAAATAGCCAGAGGATGAACAGCACCCTTTAAAAACAATGTTTTAGCATTATATTGTATCAGTCACTCCCCGGCCCAGCCCCGCTCGGTCGCTCACGGGCTCCACGCGGCCGCCGAGCACTGCCGGGCCCAAAATGGCGGCCGCGCGCCCCACGCCGCCAGCGCGGGCCCCGAGCTGCCCGTGGCTCGGCCCTGCCCGCTGGGCCCGGCTCCCCCGGGCCGGCCCCGATGCCCTCCCCGCTCGCCCCCGGCCCCCGCTCCCCCGGGCCGGGCCCGGCGCTCCCCTCACCATGGCGGCGGAGCTGCTCGTGCGGCCGCCCGCCTGCGCCGCGCCCCGACCGGAAAAGGAAGGACTCGTCACTCTCCCGTCACTACGTCTATGTCCCTCCGCCTCCTGACAGCCGCGGCTGCCGCGCCGGCCGTTCAACCCCCGACACCCAGTTCAAGTGCGGGACCGAGCTCCAGCCCGGGTCCCACTCCCTATCCAAGTCTCCTCGGCCCCGATACGCACATCCCGAGCTCTCTGGGTGCCCCTGCCCAGCTCATTTCCCCGCCAAAGCAGGGGACTCTGTTGCGGCGGAGGGATCCAGCGTTACGCGTCACCCTCCCCTCACAGACGTCGCCTAGCGCCGGCGGGCGGGAGCTTCGATTGTGGCGGGCGGCGATGGCGGCGGAGAGGCGGCGTCGGGCGGGCGGCGGCCTGAGCGGGCTCCTGCTCCGGTGAGGATCGGGGCTGTTCCCGGGCCTGAGCGGGCTCCTGCTCCGGTGGGGATCGGGGCTGTTCCCGGGGCTGAGCGGGCTCCTGCTCTGCTGGGGATCGGGGCTGTTCCCGGGGCTGTCCGGGCTCTTGAACCGATGCGGATTCGGAGTCACTGCCCGGGGATCTCCGCTGCTCTGCTGAGGGAGGTCTGGCCCCGCTTGTGGGGAGGCTGCTGAGGCTCCGGTTGTTTAATGTATGTGGGTAATGCTGCTGTTTAACGAGGAATGCTGAGGGGAAAGGTCGTGTATCTCAACGTTCTCTTTTCTTTCAGGGTACTTGAAGAAGGAAAGGACAGTATCCCCGAACATCCCTATCTCTATGAGGTAAAATCATAGAGTGGTTTGGGTTGGAGGAGAACTTGAAGATCGTCCCATTTCCTCCCCGGCCATGGCAGGGACACCTTCCACTGTCCCAGGCTGCTCCAAGCTCTGTCCAGCCTGGCCTGGGACACTGCCAGGGATCCAGGGGCAGCCACAGCTGCTCTGGGCACCCTGTGCCAGGGCCTGCCCAGCCTCACAGGAAGGATTTCTTCCGAATTTCTAATCTACACCTACTCTGTCAGTGTGAAGCTGTTCCACCTTTTCCTGGCACTCCATCCTCTTAAATGGATCCGCTCTCCATCGGCTGCAAGTGGGTCACAATGGATGCAATAGGATTGAAAAACAATCTGTGGGATTATTTAATTTTGCAATTTCTGGTATTAAAAAAAGCTGAAATGCAGTGTCTCTATACAGTGTTTCAAAAAGTTTTGATTTTTTTTTTTTCAGACTGATGTGGAGATCTCATTGGTTGATGGCAGTTGCAAAAGTCCTGTTGAAAAATTTTGGAATGGAAGCAGTGCAATGTATATTTTGCAGAAAGCTGTAAGTGTGCGTGGTGGATGTTAAATGCAATCCAAACTTTTGAATTCCCATCAGATTTTTTTCACACACCTTACATGCACATTCTCTTCAAGACACACAATGAAGAAAGCGACTCCATGGAGGAATCAAGAGCAGATGATGCTGTCTATGCCTCTGAGGTTTTGCCTAAGGAGAGTCCTGGAGCCCTGGCTCTTTCTGTTGGAAGAGCAAAGTAAGTTTGAAAGCTTTCCCTCCCTTTTTGAGGGAGATTTCTTTTGTAATTTTGTGTCTTTTTCTAATATACAGAATCTGTGTTTTCAATCTCCTAAAATAAAATTACTCCTTAGTTTATGAGGAGTTGTGACTGTTTTCCATCCTGCAGGTATTGGAAAAGCCCTTGTGAGCTGGGCTGTTGGGTTAATGGGATTCACTGGGTGTAGATGAGCAAAAAAAGCTGACTAAGACTTCAGTGCTTTTTTTTTTGGTAAAGCTCCTGTTAAAAAATCTGATTTACATCTTCACTAAGACTTCAGTTTTTTTTTTTTTTTTTTGGTAAAGCTCCTATAAAAAAAGTCTGATTTACATCTTGGTGTTATTAAAATACCAATGCATGGTACTAAAATGTTGTTTACCTAATTAATGTATTCTTTTAATTAGCTTAGAATGTAATATTCAATTACAATTTTAGAATCTTCGGTGTACATGAATATATTGTGTTATTTGCTGGCATCTTACCTTCTCCCTGTTCCTGTTTCCAGGCAGCTGATTTCCTTGTACACGATGGTGCAAAACCCAAACGTGACCTCGCTGGGGATGAGTGACCTGGCTGTGCTTCCTCCCCTCTGGGCCAGGTGTGATGGTTCTGACCCTCAGCACACCTGCTGGATTGGAGCTGAGCCTCTCAAGGCTGATAGCAAAGTCACAGGGCTCAATATTTACATGGTTTCATGTGATGGTAAGGTGGTCGTGGTGCACAGAAAATTAAATGAGGAAGGCTAAAAAATGTGGGAATGCTGATGTCAGAAAGCTGTCTTTGTTCTTTGTGTGATACTGGCTTGGAAATGCTCTGTATTCCTGGTTTTAATGAGCAAGAAGGGATTAAAATAAGTGAAAATATCTTTTTAACCAATGCTGTGGGGGGAAATGGCTTTTTAAATCTACTTGATGCACCTGTAGCTGTGCAGGCCTGCCTCAACTCATTTTTAAGCTTTTAAACTGCTGCCATTCAGCATCTTACACAACCTCTGACTCATTCTAAGCATCCATATATGTTCATATCAGCTCTTATCACCAGTAGAGAAATGCAAGGAGAATTCCAGCTTTCTAAAGGACAGCACGAGTCATGCTTCACCAAATGGAGTATTTGGGAATGAATTTGAAGTGCCAGATTTGAATTGTGTTAAATGGGTTTTTTGATTCTCACTTTTTTCCTTTCCTAGGTCCTACAGCTGATAAAACCCATTTTCCAAACCTGGAAGAGCTGAAAATGGAACATAAAATAAGACATCATTCATCTAGTGTAGGTTTTTGTGCTCTGTCATGGCTTCAATTGAGGTTTAAAAACTCTATTTTGGGATTTATCATGCTGGTTTGGGGAAGCTTTTTTAGATCCTCTGTGGAAACCACTTTAGTATAATTCCATAGTATAATAGTCTGATTTCAGGTCATGTTTAAAATGCATTTGTCTGGTATTAACCCTTTTTTGCATGTATGTGAAATACTTTTAAAATTACTTTGTGTGTGCTAGTTTTGTTGTTTTGATTTTTGAAATGTGTTCATTTTAGGTGACAACAAAAGGATTTGCTCGGTATGAGCTGATTGCAGCTGCTGCAATGGAGGACACCATGGCAGAATCTGGAAGCAACATCTATGTGGATATCACATGGAATGGTGTGGAAAAGATTCTGGAGACTCCCCCAGTGATCTCTGCTGCCACGCTGGTAAGTCAGGATGGAAAAAACAAAGAAACCCAAGCTCTTGGCACAATTCACATCATGAGTAGTGTAAAGGATAGAAGATAAAAGCAGTGTAAGCTGAATTGTAAGTTGTGCTGACATACTTCTCACTGATGAAAATTTTAAGACACTTCATTTCTAAAGTTTGAAACTGAGATAACCTTGTGGAACTTTCAGAATATTGCCCTGGAGTTGGGGAACCCCAGAAGTCCTGTGTTCCAGCTGTACCAGGAGCTGCAGTTCCTCTTGGTGAGTGCAGGGGACAAATTCCAATTTCACATTTGCATGGAATGGGGATTTTATGTGCTAATAATTTGCTTTATTGAAAACTTCATCAGATGTTTCAAAGATAACTTCAAGCATTTATTTTAGCTGAAATTTTGAGTTCAGATTTAGAAATCTTGAATACAAAGAGGACAAGTCATCCAGGAAATTCTGAAAATTTGTTACTCCTGGTTAGCTGTGCAGAGATTTGTGATTCTTGGTGAAGTTGTGTGTGAAAGATGACACATGCAGGACTCCCAAGAAGAACTGATTTCTGTTGGGATTTTCCTGCTTTTAGGCTTTGGCTGAATGTCTGAAGACGGGAGTGACTGAGTGGCCTGAGCCATCAGAGTCTGAATCAGCTCTTAAACTGGTCCAGGAATTTCTGACTGGTAACTGCTGCTTGTTCCATGGGGAGGGAGGGGCGTGGCACTTCACAGGAATAAAAGGGAATTCCACATACAACTTTTAAAGAATTAGAACTGGAAACGTTCATTTCTGTGTGTAACCACTGCACAGAGTAATTGAATAGGTTAATACATATTTGTCATTTTTCTTTGTCCTAATATCATAGATCAAAGTAATAATAATAACAAAAACATTTTTAGAGGTCTTTTCAGGCTATATCCTTACCCAATAAAACCATTTTTAAATGACTGAATTCTATTATTCACTGTATTTGTTAGTTATAATGTATTCATTGATTTGATGACACTTTTCATAGTGGTGGATTTTTTTAACTCCACTAGATTTAAAGAAGAAGCTGGATGGAGATTATATATTTGAAGACAAGAATGAAACAGAGGTGTGTGCAATTTCCTAACAGCTGCTTTGTCATTTTGCTTCCATTTTAACTGCAGTTATTTCAGATTTTGACTATCTTGTTTTGAAGACAAGAATGAAACAGAGGTGTGTGCAATTTCCTAACAGCTGCTTTGTTATTTTGCTTCCAGTTATTTCAGATTTTGACTAAATCTTTCATATGGTTTATATGTGTAAATAGTGATGTAAAGGAAAATGGATCTCTTGCTTTCTGTCTCTGCTGTGTAAAAATAATGGGAAAAGGTCTGATTTTTTCCAGGAATCCTGACCTTTCTGCCATTGCATTCTATCATTAATTTGCTTTTTCTGCCTAATTTAGTTATTTGATGTCAATTTAATAGTACCAATTGAATATGTGTCTTACTTATCTAGAGGTTTGTGGTATTGTGAAGCAAAGGGCAAATTCAAATTATAAAAAGTGTGTTTGGTTATATTAAGATTTTTTTCCCTCTCAGCCTACAAGGAAAGATTTTATTTTCTATTAAGAGAGAAGCAGCATTTTGTTGATAATCTAAGAATATATTGATTTCTGTGTCAGCAGAACTATGCTGGGTCAGGATTACAGAGCAGTAGTTCTCTGCTCTGAGAACTTGTGTGTCTGGATTTTGGCCTCCCAGGCACTGCTGGGTACACAGACAGTACCTGGCTGAGATCTGAAGTTTCTCTGACAGTGGCTTTTGTTTCCTGGTCCAAGGCTAGCAGTTATCCAGTGTGATAATTCTGTAAAGAATCAGACTCACTGTTAAATAAAAGTATGCTGCCAAATTACTGTGTGGTAGTTTCCCTGGAAAAGGGGGA